TGACTAAGGGCATACATGGACTACGGCAACGTGGCATACCATGATTATGCGCAATATCTACTGACACCTGATGAGTACCAGACCATCTTCATGCTCGAGAACAAGGACCGAGTAACCAACTCCGAGTTCGCAGGTGACATAGTAGAGTTCTGGCTGGGGATCTTCGAGCTGGCAAGCATCTTTCAGAGCACCTTATTCAAAGACTGGAAATATATTGATGAGTGTAGACATGGAATTGAGCTGTCATTCCTCACATTCTACGCAGCAAGCCGGAGGAACATCAACGACAACACAAAAAGAAACAAATCTCCGCGCAGCTACCCATCAGTCGATGAAAGGTCTGAGATGGTCAAGATGAGGGTCAAATACTCAAAACCAGAATTCATCACCCGAATGAAGCCCATCGAGGCACCGCCTCCCAAGGGGGAAAAGACACAAGAAGAAGATGAAAGGATGAACGAAGGTGGACAGCCATCTGCGTCAACGCCTGGAGAACAAGAAACACAACCTGCGTCCTCCGAGGTAGATCCTATGGCCTACAAGGAAGGCGAAGGGAGATCGGTGTCACCAACGGCTACATGGACAAATCCAGGACTATTCTCAACCAAGGAGATCGAGCCATCTTCATCTCCGTGGAAGAGAACCCACGACAATATCCAGAGTGTGAAGAAGAGAGCCCAAGAGATGAACATTTGCCTCTGTTGTGCCTCCGATGCCCGCTCATTGACAAACTTTGACAATGAGAACTTTGTAAAGAACAAAGGGGACATCATGGCGTGTTTTGAACACATCGAGAAGATCCTCAAAGTCAACTTCACGGAGCACGACGAGGTGGTCATCAAAAGAGACCAGGCTGAGAGAGAAAAGAAAAGAGCAAAGACTGCAAACGGTGATGACGAGGATGTTGAGATGGAGGATATTGACTTGCCTGAGGAGACAGCACAATTGGGCGAGGAGTCACTGACTCCTCCAACCAAAGAACCACCATCGTCAAAATCATCGAGCAGTAAAGATGACTATGAGAAGGCCGTTGCGTCCATGAAGCGATCATTCGACAATGCGACAATCATTACAAGATTCCATGGACCCGTGGACATTTGTTCGATCGTCGATGAGATGGAAGGAGGCGAGTTCAAAGTCATCAACAGAAGAATAGGTGTATCTGGACCACCAGACACCAGGTCACTCGAGGAAACTTTGACGAGGGCACAATCAGCAGGCTCCAAACTTCCAAAAGTGACAGGGTTCAAAGACGATTCAAGACAAGTGCACAAACAAGCATATCGACAGATTTGGGTGGCTTGCAACAGGGTGATGAAGGCCGAACCGGAAGGTACACCGAGCCACCTGTCCTGGACCAAGGCCACGCAGGAGGATGGGTGAACGTCAACGACGCGCTCGTGTACGGCCACATATTCAATGGCAACAACGGTCGAATCATCAGAGACGCAGAACGAGGAGGTTATCTGGACGATGTTCTAGCTACACGGTACCGCCGGTGTTGCCAAGCCATGTGGTATTCGAAGAAGTTGCAGAACCGTGTCAGATTCCAGATTGCCGCAGTACGCATTTCGATCAGCGATGTCATGAATGAGGAACAAAGAGAGTATTGGGAAGAAAACTACCTCGTGCCAAATGATATGAGACACTACGGGGAAAATGACAGATGGTTGTTTCCAGTAGCGATGAGAGCAGTATCGTCACACAACCTGGAGTCGAGACATACTGACAAGAATGAGAACGATGTTGCCCTCGACCCACGTCTCACATCACACGACATTGCAGACTCCATAGCAATGCAACTTGGTGGAAGTTTCCATGTGACGACTCTTGCGAAGATACCGTCAATAATGAAGCATGGAATCCTACCTGGTGGAGACAAAGGCATAAGGGGAAGTTCATTCTTCAATCACTTCGCACCGTGGGACAGAAGAGCATCTACGCTATTGAAGTCAAAGGTCCCTACGAATGATGTTCCAGTAGCCCTATATGTACCAATTGCATACCTGCAAAGTCTCGGAGCACGCTTTTCCGAAAGTTCATACGTCGTTGTGTTCAAGAGGGCGCCGCGGGAAAATGTCAGAGGCGCATGGTACAAAGAGCCAATCAAAGGGGAATGGAAGAGATTGCTGGCAAAAGGGATTACTAATCACCTTATCACAGCGGCAAGCCATTCAAACAAGCTAGCAACAAAAGACCAAATCCTCGAAAGGGCAAGAGAAGTTGTCGCTGAATGCGCGAGAAGAGATGCCAACATTCGCAAGTTGGATGAGCTTGTCAACGATGGCGATACCAAGAGAACAAAGCAAGAGCCATGCACGATCATCGCCCGAACTTGTGAAGGGTACAGTAGCATTGACGGCAACATCCTATGTCCTGCACCCATGAATGTGACGCCGAACATCTTCACCCTACGCTTGCATTGTCATGGACGATTTCACAGTTGCGGAGTCAGGAACACAAGCGAACACCGTCATCGAGATTGACGACGACGAGGTGAACAAGGGGAGATGACGTTGAGATGGAGCAATCAAACGATCCTGAGAAAGAAGAGCAAGAGATCATTGACAAAGTGAGGATGGACGAGCTCAAGAATGCACTACAGTCCCAGATCGCACCCTCGAAAAGGGAGGAAGGTCAAGAAATATTCACATCATCCTTTGACGCAGACGAAGTTGACTACGAAAGAGATTCACAAGCTCCAGAGATTGAGGTAGTCATTGACGAGCTAGATGCCATTCAGAAAATGCACAGCTGAGTTCCCTAAGTCCTCAGACAAGGTGATTGAAGATTGAGTGGCGGAAGAGTCAATGATGAAGATTATGAGAATGCTGGACCCAGGGCATTCGATCCTGAAGAACATCTTGCCAATCATGAACTTCCAAGATGGTGCAGATAGCCAGAACCATTGCCGTTCGACTCGCAAGATGAAGCTGGATGCCAAGATACGGGAAAGGGATCATCAGGACTCATGGACAGGTACATCATACGCTGCGTGACATAGGTGGTAAAGCCCATGTACACTTCGTATCACCAAACCGGCATTGCCAGATTCAGAGAGCTCTTCACGAGAAAGAGGCTAGATGTCATGTCAGACTTCACCAAAGGGGTTTTCAACGGATTCGATGAGGACGATATGCCCAAAGATCCAACGGACGAGCAGATGCAAGCATTTGCAATTGCAAAAGAGATCACTCCGGAGGAAGCGTGGCGCATGATGCGAGGAGAACAGACAATTGGAAAGTTTGCGCTACAGGCACTCGCATTTGGGTACACGCCCGCAACTTTCAAAGAAGAATTCGGTGAGACTGATCGCCCGCCACCGGGAACTGTCCAAGCTATGGTGGAATCAAGCAAGAAATCCAAGCAAGACGCCATGTCGAAGATGGTCGGAAAGTGCGTGAACGCAATCTACAACGTCACGTCCTACTCATACTTTCGAGATGATCTGAACAGCAATGACGTTCACAAGTACCTTGGTCCTTTGGACATCATGTATTCAAGGCCTCTCAACAAGTGGGACAGAGTAATGCTGCTGGTATTGGATCAGGCAAAAGTTACTTTTACCATCATTGGCACACAAGACTTTGGAGGCGATGACCCAACACCAGGACAAAAAGAGCATGTGAACGCTAGAATAGCTTGCTGGGAGCAGATCAAGTACAGAGGCTGATGGACAAGTACCAAGAATATGGGAAACATGTCGTGACTGGGAAATGGAAGACTAACTACCCCAGCATCACGCCTGAACTTGAGCATCCACCATCCGAAGCAGCTTCATCAAGCCAACGTCATCAAGCGCAAGAAGAACCAGGCCGAAAAGGAAGAGGAAAAGGAAAGATCTATGGCCCTGCAGGTCGACGAACATGGGAACAGTTGAACAACTATGCTCGTGACTGGCAACCACCGCGTTCAGATCCAGGCATTTAACGCTACAAAGTTCCGAGATGGCTTTTGGACCAAAGCCAAGAAATTGACAAGACCCAGGTCATTGGACAAATCGAGAATGGAACAATGCCGATTGGATGGCACGTCAAAATGCTGAATGGCTGGAACGCAGACCTCGGGTCATCAGGACCGCTCAGCGAAGTTGGCGAGATTGGGATGGTGACCAGGAGGAAGAACATCATGATGATGTTGAATATGTAGAAGAAGAAGAAGAATAATAATAAGAAGAAAACGATACCAGACGCTAAATCAAGGTCAACGCACTGCGTGTGACTCCTTATCAAGCAAGTTCAGCGCACTGGCACTGCGCGTGAACCTCTGTTGAGCAAGGTCAGCGCACGTCGCATGACTCTGGAGAGTCGTAAGAGTATCTGCAAGTGAACTTTGTACAGTCGAAATTTTGCAAAGCTCAATCTATCTCGTGGCGAAGATCTACTGAGTGGACTCTGAGCGAGGCATCTTTCATGGTCAGTTTTCACGAATTAACTTGTATAGCCAATAGGTTGAAGTGCACGCTGTATATGTAAAAAGACCGCTTTGTTCCAACAGTGTAGTGTAGTCAGCGTCTATTTTGATAGGTCTCGCGACAAATCATAGCGAACCACTGTACGTAGCCCACTACCCTGGAATTTCAAGTGTGGCCATTGCTGAAAGCGTCGGTCACATGGGGGGTGTCAAAAGCAGTGGGACGACAGCATACCATATGCATGTACAGTCTACTGTCTCGTGTCGTGCCTACATTTGGCTCAAGACTCCCGTAGAGTAAGCGGAAAACAAGTGCGTGCCATCGCTGTCTGCGAGGGAGAGGATAGTCTACCTACACTTCACGTCGGGCAGATTACTATCCACACGCATAATATGTATATATATATATACAAAAGTATATACTGGGCCTTCGGAGCTTTTGCTCTTCCAATCAGTCAATCAGATAATCAAGCCAGCGAGCAAGCGAAACCAATTAATACTTGTTTTGTTTGTTGCTGTGACAGCTGCATGTGCTCTTTCTAAACTTGGAGGTTTGCGCGCGATTTCCTTACAGAACTTAGACTTAGGACTGGCAAAGCAGTGCCTGTCAACGAGCTGGAAGATGCAGAGTTTAATGCAGGCTTGCTTCAAACAGTCAGAGAAATCCTTGATGAAGACTTGGAAACATTTGCGCATGAGGCTTGGATGAAGACCGATTTGAGTACGACCCATCTTTGATGCTCGGATTTGCATAAGCCAAAGCACCAAAAGCTGACGCTGTACCTGCCTCGGATTCCATTTGATGGAACTCAGGAATGCGTTTGACCGCGGCTGGCCAACGAACTGTATCAATTTTTGGTGTGCTGGGGCCTGAGTTCATTGGTTGCAGGGAATGTGGCCGAATACAATGCTTAAGGTTGCCCGCTGGCCATCCAATCAGTTTGGTGAATTCTGAAAGCTATGTTTGCATTCGCACTTGATCAGACTCAAAAATATGCGCGCTGTGCACCAGAATACAGGATTGGGGGAATGGGCTGCTGCAATGTTTGTGTATTTGGATCAAGCTAAATAGTTGATTCGGTTTTGCCGACAAGTGAACAAATCAAGGGACATCAATATCGGTTGGATTTGTTTTGACGAGATGCAAACCTCCAATCATGACTCGCCTTTGACAAATTTGTTTTTGCTGCGAAGACCATGGCTTGGTCAGAATGGCCTGTCTGCGGCTGAGTTTGTTTTGCAGTTTGCGATCTACGTTCCCCATCTTGTATGGCTTACTTGAGACTTACAGTGACACTTTCTGAGCTCCAATTTGCAAGCGGCGCATGTAAGGTTTGTAATTTTTGTTTGATTATTCATCCCTGATTAAGATGTTTGCGTGATGGAAAGGAAACTGATCCAAGCTTCGAGAGCCAAAGCCAGGGTGCGCGAACGAAGTGTCGAGACACTATTCGTCGTGGCCTTGGAGTGCTTGACGCTTCTTGCTGCTGCGCCTTGGAGTTTAGTTAATCGTCAAGTCGGGGCTTACCTTTTGGATCTATACAAGGCAAGGCCAACATAGTTTAGCCACTAGCGTGTTGGGATCAACCTTTCAATTTCAACAACGGACTCTCAACTAAGACAAACAATGGAGGCAGTGACCATCGCGGAGGGGTCTCAAAAGCCTGGACATTCACTCACATTCATCCGCAGCCAACCTCCAGGAAGGCTGGTCGGTGTCGGCAGCAGCGCAAAATAGCAGCACGTCGGGCCACTTGCGTGATCGCATCGGTAAGTGTCTCAGGGTTGCGATGGAACAATGTCAGTGGTGGTTGTGGTGGAAATTGTGGATGTGCTTGGTGGAAAGGGAAAGCTGGCTGTGGGGCTTGATGTTGGGGGGGAAGGGCTGGGGCCAGGTGGGAATTTCACGTACGAGTGAGCTCGTAAGCGCGAGTCCATATATGGATGGAGGATGTTGTGGTGGAAGGTTGAGTGGGGTGTGTAGAGTTTCTTGAGTGGTGGGACATTGGTGGCAACTATCCTGGGGTCTTCGGAGCTGCTGGAAGGCATACGTCGCCGAGTGGATCGGGTACGCCGGCGATAGGCGGCCAATGAAACTGGTGGTGTGCGGGCGGGGGG